CAAAGTTATAAACACTTAGAAGCCAAAGTAAATCCCACCTGCCTGACCGGGCAGCAGCAGAACCGACAGAAGTTTACCTGTTATCCAACACACCCTCGTCCTGAGGTTGTGCCCCTCTAACTTCCCATTCACTAATCATGGGCAGACAAGCTGTTTACCTATTCTCTGTGCCCATGAGGAAAAGCAGGCAACAAAGGCCTAGACATGATACCCGATACTTTAACAGAGTTAGAAAAATCTCAAATACCTGCCCTCCTGGCTCCTGCTTGAGATCTCTTTCCATTCCTTTGTCTGACCTTTCTTAGTTGGTAAAGTAAATCTAAAATATCCCAACCATGAAAATAAAAATGCCTGTGCTTTTCATGTGTATGTGTGTTTTTTCCTGTGTAGTGTGATGCAATGTGGTGATTGAAATGATATTTATTAGATGCCTGAAACAAATAATCACACAAATGGACGCAACAGAAACCTCAACCCTGTACCATCACGAAGCCCCTTTCTGGTTTCTAAACCCAGGTAGGTCCGAGGAGAGTAGACTGTACCTTGATCTTGTCATAGGCAATAAGTAGATAACTATGTGAGATATGCCAAGAGGATGTTTAAAAATTTTTCATTGATTTTAGAGAGGGAGGAAGGGAGAGAGAGAAACATCAATAAGAGAGAAACATCGATTGGTTGCCTTCTGTATGCCCTCCACCTGGGATTGAGCCCGCAACCCGGGCATGTGCCCTGATCCAGAATCGAACTGTCGACCTCTTGGTGCATGGGTCACTCAAACTACACTGGCTAGCAAGAGGGTATTATTTTTTTAAATTTATCTCTATTGATGATATTTCGTTTTGAAAGAATATTCGATAAGGAGATGCTCCTACTTCTCACCCATCCATAAAATCAACTTTTAGGAAACTACAAAACAAGTAATCAGTTATCCAAATTCTCTAAAGACAGCAGGGATTTTAACTGGAGTTTTTGTGACCATATTTCCATTATGACTACTTCCTGTGTTTTAACACTCACCGTGCATCATAGATGATACTTATTTTAGGTCTGCCTTCCCCACCATGAAGTCAGGAATTATCTGCCATATTTAACCACCATATCTATGGTGTTTCGTACAGTAGAAACATTTAAAATCTGCTGAATGGACTACCCACAGAAATTAAGAAAATAGGAAAAATATTTCTTTATACTGCTCTTTACTTGCCTTCACTTTTCCCACACTATTATCAGCTTAACCTCACAGTGACAGCAACAGGGACATGGCTCAGTCCTTTCTCTCTAAGAATTATAGAGATCCAAGAGGAACTGAACAGAGGGGAGGAGGTATATTAATTCCAGGGCTATGCTGAGTCACATTCCTGCAGTTGCAAGGAACAGAAACCCACTGGACAGAACTTAAGCACAAATGGGCATGTCCAATAAGAGAGGGAGTATCTCTTGAACTCAAAGGAAGAAGCCAGGCCAGGTTTCTGGGGGTTAGGAGGAGGATGAGAAAAACCTTCAGCATCACTGGCTCAGGATTATCTCCCTGTGAACCAAGTAGTCCTTCTTTCCTTGTTCAACTTTCCTTTAAGCAAATCAGCTTTCACTGCTTCTTCAAGCACACAAAAGCCTCACAGCTCTAGGGTATACATGTTCCCAGCTCAAGGGGCAAGCCTACACTGAGACTAGCATTTCCTACTTGAAATTCTAAATTCCTGGGAAAATCAGATTGGCTCAAGGGCAAATAGCTTTAACCAGGCAAGTCTGGTTTCTCCTGGCTCCCTCCCACAGAGGACATGGAGTTCCACAGAAAAGACAGGGTATGAGGACACTCCCAGAGCCGCAGCTGTGTTTGTTATCATGATGAGTTTACTCATCTTTCTTTGGTCTTCCACTCCCACGAGTTCACTCAGCCTTATCACACTGCCTTTTAGGCTCACTCACTGCCACCAAACTTAGCCTTCATAAGTCATTCTTTCTCATCTAATGTCTTCTGTTTCCTTCTCTCCATTAAACTTAAAATTCACAGTGTTATCCAGTACATGACAAATACTATATTTAAAAGGTGTTTTAATGGACAAAATAAGCCATTATTATATCTACAAGATATTTTGTCTTATTTGGAATTTGGATACTACTATAAACACACAGTGTGATCATGCCCACCAAGTGGTGTCCATATTTCAGCATCCAGATACACTATACCTTTTCACTTATTTTATAACTAATATCACATACCTGTCATTTAAGGATAATATTGACAAAAACACTTTTAAAAAGAAAGGATTGTAAAACAACTTGTTGGAAATTAAAAACTATTTCATGTTTTCTAATAAGCCAAAAATGTAGCATATTTCCTTATAAAATAAAATCATGCCTCTTGCAAGTTAAACAAAACTTAAATTCTTGTTCAGACATCAGTGACTATGTTATCTAAATGCATATGATTCCTAGGGACATAAAAGCAAATTTCTGACCAATTATACAGAACACAGTCTTTTGTTATTTTATCTCTCCATGGTAGTGGAATCATCTAACAAAAGATTATCTTGACCATATGTATGCCTTGTTCATTACAAATCCTGGCACCTAGCTTGATGATCTGTATATAGTAGGTACAGAGTAAATGCTTGACTAGAATGTATACTTTTACCTATGTATTTGCAAATCAACACCACATATGTCTGAGGTTTTACATGCGTTCATATAAATGTATAAATTGCCACAAGACAATCTTCTCAAACTGTAAGATGCTAGGGATCTTTTTAGAATGCAGATTCTGATTCAGAAGATCAGGACTGAAACCCAATATTTGCATTTCTAATAAGTTCTCAGGTGATCCTGTTGCTGCTGGTCTACGGGCTCCATTTTAATGTCCAAGTAATCCCTTTTTACTCCTTATACTATCAATAGAACACCACAGGTAAAGTATGCAAATGATTAGAGGGTCCTTCTTCTCAAAGGCTGTGCTCAGTCGTTATGAAAATTACAATAATGTCCTCAGGGAAACTCATCTTTATTAACAGATTCAAGTCTTCAATAGTATTTATTTATTGAGCACCTATGCCAGGTGCAGAAGCTGCAGCAGCCTTTTAGTCATTCTTGCAGACAACTTAATAAATGATGAAAATGCAACTCAAGGCTTCTTCTGTATTCTCAGTGATATTTAAATAAAGAGAGCATCAGAGAATGACAATTAAATGTGTATGAATGTGTATATGTTAAGGGGTTCTATAAATTATTGCTTAGGATCCTGTGTCATCATGAGGTTCCTATTAATGTTTATCTCAAGTACATTTCTTGTTTGCTTTCCCAAGCCTTCACCATTCTGCCCAGCTCTGCCACTCCTCTGCCTTTGCAGTCAAGAAAATGACCAGTCTCTGGGATCAACTTCAATTTTTTGGACCTTATAGACCTTCCCCGTCTCTTTCAGTGAGATGTTGTAACAATTCTGATAAAAAAGCAAGATCACTGCTCAGACTGGTTCATACCATTTAAAAGACAAGAAAAAAATCAATCAGAGAATTCATTTCCCTTTCCATGTACCTAAGTCCCCATTATCACCTTTACATATAATGGTGTCTGCTGGAGGTACAATAGGTAAGAGACAAATGTAAGTATTCAGAATTATAAGAAGTTTCTTCTTCACTAATGTAGGGTTGAGTACTTTGTTCAGCTCCGTGGTTATGACACAAAATTCTAGAGACACATAAAACCTCAAAGATAATTTCAAAATCACAGAAAGCCATCACATCCTTAATAATTCATTTGTTCATAATCAGGCAAATTGTTATTTATGTTATTACAGCATTCTTTTGCCAGAGGCATAAACATAATCACATCTACAATTTAGCATGAATTTATTTTAGTTACATTTTATAGCATATAGTTCTCAAACTGGGATACTTGTATCAAGAAAAAAGGTGCAAACTGTAGCAAGCCAGAGGGTATATGAGCCCGAACAGCAAATCTGAGGGATTTTTCTAGGATATCAATTTTAATTAAGATTTGAAAGAAGGGGAATAAGGGAAATGTTTACTAATATAACTGATCACGAATGTAAATAATGGTTTTACACTAAAGCAAAATGGAATAGGACGACCAAATTTCATTATTTTTAATGATAAAATACTAACTGAAAAGAAAGTTCCTATTTGGGAAGCTAAGTCTTCTCTCCCTACAAGGGAATATCTATCAGTATAAGAATCTAAGAATCAGCCGAGACTGGTTTGGCTCAATGGATAGAGCGTCGGCTTGGGGACTGAAGGGTCCCGGGGTTCGATTCCGGTCAAGGGCATGTACGTTGGTTGCGGGCATATCCCCGGTAGGGGGTGTGCAGGAGGCAGCTGATCGATGACTCTCTCTCATCGATGTTTCTAACTCTCTATCTCTCTCCCTTCCTCTCTGTACAAAATCAATAAAATATATATTTTAAAAAAAAAAAGAATCTAAGAATCAGTCATATCTTTTTCTTAAAGTATATTAGAAAGATTTGCTACTTATCAGTGTAAGGACATATTTCTCATGTAAGATCTTGGGGAAATGAGGTTGACTTCCATTTAGATTGTTTCAATCCTAAGAAAATTCTTTTAAGAACTGAATGTTCAATGTTAAATGTCTTGAATTTTAACAAATAACATAACTACAATACAAGGACAAATTTACTTCACAGATATAATCACTGGACAAAACTTTGAATTGTCTCAGGAAGTACTTTACAAAAAAGTTAAACGAAATGTCAGAGAACAGAGTGAGACTGTTGTAATCAGTCTATATGCTGTAGTCCTTCCAATAATCTCATTCAGAAACTATGCATATATAATCAATTTCAGAACAAATTTCTTATTTTACATACTGAGAGCTTTAGAAAATCTAAAGTGATTTACTGTGGTACTTTCCATTGATAATTCCAACCACAGGCATCACTACTCAAGAAGAAAATACAGAGAAGGCAATCTCAGAAGGAAGGGGAATTGAAATCAATGTTTAGTTTTTTAGACAGAAATTCAGATACTTACAAGGCATCATATGATATATGCTTGGCCAATATTGTCCACTATCTCTCTTTAACCATACGCGAACTGTCCTGTAACAACAACAACAAAAAAAGTGTTTTGAAATAAGTATTTTTAGTCATAGGAAAATTTTGATAGAAACCAAACCTGTTAATTATACACACATATACATATTTATATGAAACATATCTTAACTATACATAACATATCTTAACTATATAAAATATATATACATATATGCGAATATACCACATACGCCTCTCTATAGATCCTAAATTTAAGGCTTGTATCCATTAAGAATTATATATGACTCCTGAAATATCCCCATATGTCTATATGAGCACATGTAATGGTGATAATGAAAATTATTATTATTTTTGTTGTTGTTTTGCCACTCCGTGTTTATGATTCCCCCTCCCCCCCAAAGCCGGTTGGAAACATTCATGTGCCTGGGAGCTACTAGGTTTTACTATTGAAAGAAATGCAAAGAGATAAAATGAAGCAATATGCAGTATCTGACACACGGAGAAGGATTGCATAGTAAATACGTAGTAAATTATGTAGTCTTACCGGCCAGGCCAGGCCAGGCCAGTCTTTAGAGACAGTTCTTCCAAGCATGGCCTGGCAATCACATTCCTGAGCTAAAGAACCAGTCTTTGGGCCTACCATAAAACAATGAAATCCTATAGCAAAAGCTATGAGTGACATTCCAGGCCAGCTGGCCAGATAGAGAGCTCAGAGAGGAGGAGCAAAAGAAAGAAAAAAGTAGTCAAGAGTGGGCCATTGGGCTCTGACCAGTGGCCCCACCGTGAGTTACATGAGCCATGACATCATCTTATGCACAAGTCACCAAAACAAACACAACTAAGAGGTAAAGGGACAGTGTTCCATAGACCACAGAAAGTAGCAGACATCAAAGAGAAATGAGCAGTTCTCCACTCATATGCTAGAAGGTTATATATGAACATATATGTTACACCTACACTCCATATTCTTAAATCATCCGGGATAAAAATAAGACAAAGAAAGTACATATTTTCTTCAGAGAGTTGAACACTACCTAAACAAACTACTTAAGTCTTCATACTACATAGACTTAGTTTTAAATACTTTAGATTTTTTCACAGTTAATCAGTAGGTCATCTATAAGAAATATTAGGAAAAAGACTAGATTGACTACAGACAAAATAAATGTCATTATCTCTGCATGAACACAAGATACAGTGTAGTGATATACAGTAACAATACAGATACTTACAGAATCCCATCCTTCTCGTCAACTATCCTAATTTTTGAGAAGGACAGGCATAATGGTAAGTGATTTGTAAGAAGTTATTTGATACATATACTATTTACACACATATCAGTCCTCATTTAAATTATTTTTATAATATATGCCATTACATTTTAATATGGAGAATACCTCAACAAGAATAAATGCAGGAGTGACATCATAAATATGGCATAGTGAGAAGCTCCAGGACTCAGACCCTACGCCATCTCAACAGTGATTCTGACAGTTCTTGCGATCTCAACAGTTGATTTGGTGTAGGGTCTGATTCCTGGAGGTTCCCACTATGGGTCAATAGTTAAGCTTTGACCTATGAACCCTGAGGTCATGGTTAATTCCTAGTCAGAGCACATGTCTGGTTTATAGGCTCAATCCCAGTGTGGGGCATGAATGAGACAGCCAATTGATGACTCTCTCTAATTATTAAAGTTTCTGTCTCTCTCCCCCTCTCTCTTCCTCTCTGAAATCAATAAAAAATATTTAAGGACAAAACAAATACAAAACTCTAAAGTCTAGCTACATACTCGCAGGACACAAGGGAATGCTTGATGAAGTAAAAAGCTGGTATGCCAGTGAATTTCATGTTTTGCTAGTAGCTACCATCATGTATGCACTATTCCTGTAGCAGGCAGTTGTAGGAACAGTGGCCCATATTCAGAGTGGTTTGCTGATACCTAAGTGGGAACCCTGCCCTCACAAAATTTGGGGATGTGTGTTGTGATTTGCTGGCAGTTCACTGAAAGACTAGAGAAGAGAATGGCCATTGTTTGAATCCAGAAGGACTAAACAGCCCCAGGTAATGTCTGTCAAAAGAATTTAAATGGATAGAAAACCTTTCTTCCCTTTATGAAATCCTGGTATTAAAGGAAATCAGCCCTAGCCAGTTTGGTTCAATGGACAGAGCATCAGCCTGTGTCCATCAGTAGAGATGTGGATAAAAAACCTGTGGTATATTTACATAATGGAATACTACTCAAATGCAAATAATAATGATAATAACAATAATAATAATAATAATAATGAAATCTTACCTTTTCCCAACAGTGTGGATAGACCTGGAGAGTATTATGCTAGGTGAAATAAGCTAGTCAGAGAATTATAAGAAGCATGTGATTTCATTTATATGTGGAATCTAATGAACAAAATAAATTAGAAACAGACTCATAGATACAGAGAACAGAATGACAGCTGTCAGAGGGAAGGGCAGTTGGGGGGCTGGGTGAAAAATGTGAACGGATTAAGCAAAGAAAAAAAACTCATAGGCATAGACAAGTATAGTAATTACCAGAGAAAGAATATTAGGAACAGGTAGAAGAGGATAATGGGGGGATAAATGGTATGGAAGGAAGCTTGACTTGGGGTTGTGAACTACAACATACAGATGATGCATTATAGAACTGTACATATGAAACCTATAATTTTATTAATAAATGTCACTCTAATAACTTAATAATTTTTTGAAAAGATGTGAAATATAAGAAATCTATTCTAATAACACACAAAATGTTTTTAAGTAAAAAATTGTTATAAGAAATACCGAAGGACACCGTGAATTGACAAAAGATCCAATTCATCAAGAAGCTACTATAATTGTAAATATGTATGTGCCAAAAAACAGAGTAAAAAATGGTATCAAGTAAACATTGACAAATTGAAATGAGAAATCAACAGTTCTTCAATAATAATTGGATACTTCAATACACCATTTTCAATAATGAATAGAACATCTAGATAGAAGATCAAAAAGGAAATAGATGACTTGACTATAAACCACCTAGACATAACAGACATAGAGAACACTCCACCCAATGAAAGCAGAACACACTTTTTTTTGAAGTGCACATGCAACATTCTCCAAAACAGGCCATATGTTAAGCCATAAAACAATTCTCAATATACTTCAAAAGAATGAAATCATAGAAAATATCCTCTCCGACCACAAATAAATGAAGCACTACAATCAACTAGAGGCCCAGTGCACAAATTCACCCACGGGTGGGGTCCCTCTGGGTGGTCTGCAGGGATCGGACCAAAACCCGCAGTCCAACGCTGCCTGCCGCTCCCGTTCACCAAGCCCCACTGTGCCTGCCGCAGGCTCGTGCCCCAGCAGTCCCCAGGCAGGAGAGCTCGCCAGCCATAAGCCCTGCCTCTGGTGCCTTCCCAAGGGGGGTGGCCTGCAGGATTGGACTGAAACCAGCTCTCCAACGTTCCCCAAGGGGTCCCAGATTGCGAGAGGGTGCAGGCCACGCTGAGGGACCCCACTGGTGCTCGATCTGGCTGGGGAGGCACCATGGGAGGGCTCCAGGGTATGTCTGGCCCATCTCGCTCAGTCCCTTTTGGCCGAATCTCAGCAGCAAGTTAACCTACCGGTCAGAGCATCTGTCCCCTGGAGGTCAGTGCACGTCATAGTGATCAGTCAAGCAACCTTAGCATATCATTAGCAAATTACACTTTGATTGGTGGTTCAGTTGTTCTGCTGTTTGATCTATTTGCATATTTCCCTTTTATTATATAAAATGAGGGAAACTGGAAAAAAATCACAAATATGTAGAAATTAAACATCATAACCTTAAGCAACTAATAAATAAAAGAGAATTCATTAGGAAAACTAGAACATACTTTGAGATAAAAGAAAATAAAAATACAACATCTATATATATACATATATATACATATATGAAAAGCCTAAGCAACCACTCTACCATTCAACTGGTAACTATGACATGCTCTGACAAGCAAGGGGCAGACACTCTGATCTGTAGGTTAGCTTGCTGCTGGGGTCCAGCCAATCAGGACTGGGCCAGATGGGCCAGACATGCCCTGGAGCCTTCCCAGGATCCTTGCCCAGCCCAATCCTGCACCGGTAGGGTCTGTTGGCCTGGCCTGTACCCTCTCACAACCTGGAACCCCTTGGGGAATGTCCACAGGCCAGGCCAAGGGACCTCACTGTTACACGAATTTGTGCACCGGGCCTCTAGTCTATATATATAATGGCCATTCAAAAGAATGAAGTACTGATATATGTTAAATTGTGATTAATCTCAAAAACATTATGCTAAATAAAAGCCAGATTTTTAAAAAAATCACATATTGGATGATTCCTTTAATATGAAATGTCCTGAATTGACAAATCTATAGGGACAGAGAGCAGTTTAGAGGTTGCCAAAGGATGACAGTAGGGATGGATGGAGAGTGATTACTTAATGGGTAATGGAATGTTCTGGGGTGAAGAAAAGTTTTTAAACTAGAGAGCTGGTGGTTGCACAACCCTATGAATGCATGCACTTAACATCAAAATGAATTATACACTTTAAAGTGGTTAATTGTATGTTATTATAAATTTCAGCACAATAAAAATTTTAAAAGAATAATCAATAAAGGCTTTGCCTAAAGTTGAGGAAATCATTTTCAGTAATATGACAACAAGCTTGACAAAAGCCAATGCACTGAAGATGGCAGAGATGAAAGCCAGAAAGAGCCAGGCCTCAATAACAAACTGATGAAACAACCTTTAGACTAACTTTAGATTTGTTTGTGAAATAATTTTATTCCTTTTTACCTTAAGCCACTGTTAGGTAGATTTTATTAACAGGATCTGAATAAATGTTAACTGATAGACAAGGTTAAGGGAAGGAGTGTCTTTCCTTAAGTTTTGGGTTTTTCCAAATACACAGATGATGCTGTCATTCACTGAGAAGAGAAATACTGGGAAAAAACTAGATTATGGGTGAGGGTCATTAGTTCACTTTTTAACATTTATATTGGATGTGTCTTTGACTG